ACTGTTTAATGAGAAACTATTTGTTCTGTAAACCTTCATCTAAAGTACAATAAAAAAATTAAACGAATTAAATGAAACTTAAAACTGAACAAATATTTAAAAGTATAATTCAACAAAAAATGTTTCTGAAATAAAGAAATTTCAATCTACATATTGAAAAGGCACACAATGTACCAGAGAATATTCACCCAAAATATTCAACACTAAGATATATCTTAGTAATATCACTGGACTTTAGAGATTAAAAATAATAATAAAGTAATCCTTTGGACAACCAGATAAAAAGAGCAAATCACTTATAAAGGAAAATAAATCATGTAGGCTCTTCTCAATGTCAGAAAACAGTGGAGTAAGACAAAAAAGATAGTCAAAGCAAGAAAGTATGAGTTAAGGGTTTATATCTAACCAAGTAGTCCATTATGCATAAATACTTCAGAGAGTTTTCAATAGGAGAGAGTTCAGGAAGTATTATTCACATGAACCTTTCCTGAGGAAACTGGAGGACAGACTCTTGCAAAACAAGGAATGACTAGGGAAATTTTGGCAAATGGCTGACAGTGAGCATTGTATGTATTCTGATCTAAGAACAATATAGGAATGATATAATCATTAAAACTCAGACAAGAATGGAGAGATAAGACAAAAAGTAGAATAAGCTTGTAGATTGTTTCATCTGTAATAACTTAGAGCCAAAGGTTAACATTTACAGCTGAAAAATCATTTAGCAAGAGAAAAGGCAAACTTAAACATAAAAATATAAATACCAAGAAAAATAATATTATATAAATTGGGTGAGGTGGGGGAAGAGGTATCGAATTTTATTGTTGTTATTAGTAAAGAACAAATGGTTACTGTACAAAGAAAGAGTGAAATAACTTTACTACAGAAAGGTAGAATTAGAATTAAAGGTAACCACTAGAATTAAAATACAAACTTTCTTAAATATCTGAAAAACTATTTTTTTTAAGATGGAGAAATTAAGCTGCACAAATTTCTGAGAAAAAGTAGCAATTTACCAGCGTTTCATGAATTTTGTTATTTAGTATTTCTATTATCGTTTTCTTGGTTATTGTTGTTACGTGCCATCCAGTCAGCTCGGACTCACAGCGACCCTATGTACAACAAAACCAAACACTGCCTGATCCTTTGCCATCCTCACAATCATTGCTATGTTTGAGCCCATTGTTGCAGCCACTGTGTCAGTCCATCTCATTGAGGGTCTTGCTCTTTTTTGATGACCCTCTACTTTATCAAGCATGATGTCCTTCCCCAGGGATTGGTCCCTCCTGAGGACATCTCCAAAGTAAACGATAGGAAGTCTTACCATCCTCCTTTCTAAGGAGCATTCTGGCTGTATTCCTCCAAGACAAATGTGTTGATTCTTCTAGTAGCCCATGGCAGTCCATTCAGTATTCTTCACCAATACCACAATTTGAATGTGTCACTTCTTGTTCCGCTTTCCTTTCTTATTGTCCGGCTTTCACATGCATACGAGGCAATTGAAAAGACCATGGCTTGGCTGAGGCTTATTTTATCCATCAAAGTGACATCTTTGCTTTTAACACTTTAAAGAGGTCTTTTCAGCAGATTTGTCCAATGCAATACAACATTGGATTTCTTGGCTGCTATTTCCGTGGACATCGATTGTGGGTCCAAGAAGAATGGAATCCTTGACAACTTCAATTTCTTCACCATTTGTCATGATGCTGTTTATTGGTCCAGTTGTGAGGATTTCTGCTTTCTAGTTTTTAAATATTCTTATTTCTTTGTTGTTGTTGTTCTTCTTACTTTTGGTTATTTATAAGTGAGAGATTTTATTTCCAAATATATTGGATTAATTTTATTTATCATTTTGTAGTTTAATTGTAACTTTATTGTGCTGTGATCAGAAAGTATGGCCTGAGAATATATTCTTTAAAATTTGAGACCTGCTTTAAGAAAGTCATCTTTTGTAAGTATTTTATATGTGCTGACGGGTGTGTACATGCCATCTGCAACTGCTGGGTGGAACTCAATTCAACTAGCCTTAATGGCACAGATAAACCTCTTCTATTTTCTGAAATTTTTTTCTGAAATGTCAGTAATTGAAGAAGTGTGTAAAATTTCTGAAAAAATATAATTCTGTGAGTTGTTCTCTTTATATCTTTGTTAGCTTCATATATGTGTAAATTTTATTAATTGCATAGTACTTAAATTTGTTGAAGTCATTGGTGGTTTCGTGGTAGAATTCTTGTCTTCTATATAGTATACCTGGATTGTATTCCTGGCCAATGAACCTCATGGGCAGTCAACACTTGTCTGTCAGTGGAAGCTTGAGTGTTGCTATGATGCTGAACAGGTTTCAGCAGAGCTTCCAGACAAAGACAAACTGAGAAAAAAGTCCTGGCAATCTACTTATGTCTATTGATTTAGCTACAATCCCAAAATAGTTACATGTAAGACATTCATTGGCATTTATTTCTAAAAAATTGATAAGTTGCTAGCACTAGGTTTCTGTTTATGGTGATGGAAAATTTGGCAATAGATATTAGAGATGGTTGCATAACATAATTGATGTAATTGGTCTCTGAATTGTACATGTGAAAAATGCTGAATTGGTAAATGTTGTGTTATCTATATTTTTATTTAAATTTAAACTTAAAAAGCTAAAAAATAATGAGCTAAATTCATAACTTATGAATTTAATAAGAGATACAATAGGCAAAGAAATGAGAAGAAAGTGAATACTTAATCTAAGGACAGCAACTGAAAACACGTAAGCAACAATAGATAGCATCAGTGAAACCAAAATACAGTTGCTGGAGTAGGAGAGAACCAAGAAAAATCCTTTCCTCTGCTGGAGTTTGGACTTAACTGAGAAAAAGACACAGGAGTCAGACAAAGCTTTGGCCCAAGTTCTAATAGCTTCCCACAATGAGTGAAGGATTATATCCTTATTTCTACTCTGGAAAAATTTGGAAAAGATTAATATTATATATTCTTTGAATGTGAATTTTAATTTGCCAAGAAAATAGTCTGGACTTTGTGAATGGTTTTATGTATATGTTTCAAACTACATATTCATTTTTTAAATGACAGTATAGGGTCTCTATAGGGTCATTATCAGTCTGAATCGACTCAAAGGCAATGGGTTTGGTTTTTTTCAGTATTGAGTTTTCAGTTTTATATTTCTTCTGTAGTTGATTCCTACAAATTATTTTCCTGGAAAATTGTCACTTTGTCTCAGTTTTCTTACTTAGTGACAAAGTTTTTCATATTATATTATTATTTTTGAAATATCTTCTGTGTTCGAAGTCATTTCCCTTTTTTTACTCCTAATTTTTGTTATTTTTGCCTTCTCTTTCCTTTATTCTTTCAATAATCGTGCCAGCAGTTCATCTATTTTAATTGTCTCTTCAAAAAATTGGTATTAGGGAGAAATGCATTCTTATGACTCAACACAGGAAAAATATCAGGGGCTAAAAGTTAATGTGCTGCCTCAGTTCCCCAACCTCAGTTTAGTATTAATTATGATTTTAATTATTGATATATTTTGGTCATTGTTAATACATTAATGTTTAATAGTCACTATGAAATTTTAACAAAAAGGCAAGCATATTATTCACAGAAGATAAAAGAAAATATAACTATCTATTTTGAAAGACATGAAATTTTTTATCACTGTATAAATCTTATTCTCATTTTTCTCCTTCTCATTATTGTTATTATTTTTATAACAGCTGGAGTATTAAATAATAAAAGGAAGAAGGAAAAAGAATTATAAGCAAGCTCTTGGGCTTGATGTTATAGTAGGAACATTGGGGGAGAAATGGGTAATGCATTCTGGTTTTCACCTGTAAAGCTATAAACTGGAACTGAGATTGTGTCTGGGTGCTTCTTCACCTTTAACAGGAAAATTTATTAATTTAATCACAAACTCCATTTTCAAATGAATTTCAAATGCCTTTTATGTCACTTACTTTCAGTGGTGCTGAAACACAAACTCATTTAGTTTTGCTCAGTTTCGTAATCAAGTGCCTTATTACATACCATAAACCTTAGAAAATAGATCTGAGTGTCCAAGAACAGCATTAAACCCACTGCTGACAAGTCGATTCCCACTCACAGCCACCTTACAAGACAGAGTAGAACTGCCCCATAGGGTTTCCAAGGCTGTAATTTTTCCAGAAGCAGACTGCCACAAAGTGTCTTTCTCCCACAGAGCCTCTGGTGGATTCCAACCACCTACCTTTCAGTTAGCAGCCCAGTGCTTGAACCACTGCGCACCAGGGCTTCTCAGGAAGAGCATTAAGTAGATGAAAATTATGTGTGTGTGTGACTGTGTGTGTAAGGCAATGAGAGATTGAGATAGAGTCAGTAGTCATGGAATATTGAAACTATCAAATGATATACAACCTTAAGCCTAATGTATCATACAAAGTGATAACTTTCTGCAGGCACAAATATTATCAGATCTCTCTTCTGTCTTCTACCAAACACCTGGGGTGGAAAAAAAAAGCTGTAAAGTGGTTTTCTCTTTTTCTCTTGTTGAGGGCACATAAGAATGGATATACAGTTAAAAGCATTAGGTTATCATGGAGACATCAAAAAAAATGCTTCTCTCATTTCACTTTTCCACAGCAGAGGCTTTAGGTTTTATCTTAAGGGTCAATGCCTCCCACAGCTACCCTCTGCAGTACTTTTTAAATCTACCACCTGAATTGAGCATAAGAGGTTTAACACCTTAGCCGTTCCTAGGGGGGAAATCTTTGCCTTTCTAAGTAAGAGTTATCTCCTGTCAGCCTATAGAAACCTTATAGAAAATAGGAAGTGCCAATAGAAACATCACTTAAAACCAGAGCTCCTAAGATGCTAACTATTCTGTAAACTGTTTTCACCAGTTGACTGTGATCTGTTATACACTGGTGCTATTTACAAATGTTCTCTCTTTATAGAAATGTTCTCACCAACCCACTTTATTCCTGCAGGTGCTTCATGTTTTTCCCTAATTTGTGTTACCATTCTCAGACGGTCTACACTAAACTGAGCCAGATAACTGTTCATTGGGACTTAATGCCACTGTGAGTTTTCCTATAATGGTTCTCTCTGATTCCCTTACAAGTTCGACATTTTCTATGAAATTCCTAAGAAAAATTTTATAGTAAAATAAGTCTGGGAAATGCTCCATTATTTAGCTCTCTGTTTAATGTGTTAAAGTCTATGTAGTATAAGGAGTAGAGAAATACGTTATTTGTTTAATTATGTTATTCCAAACCTATTTAACCAAAGATTCTCCCTCACACAACACTCCCCCAAATTAAACATAGTAACCATCAAATGGCACGAATTTTTCAGGAAATACCTTTTGGGAAACAACTTTGAGCTTCTGTGCACATTTACATTATATATACAGTTTAAAGGCAGTAAACAGGTTTTAAGAACAGTTTTTGATTGTTTTATCTGCTTTGAGAGTGTACTGTGATGGGAAGTTAAAAAAGTACAAACATCACATCATGGTTCTGCTCATTGTGTACATTCATCAAAGACTGGAAAACAATGACCAGGACACAACTCTATAGACTAGGATATGAATGGTTCCATTTAAAGTGGGCAACATGGCATACGTTGTAATGACAAAGGTAAAAGCAAAAGCAAAAAATGGGTGAAACACCACAATAGATTTATTCTTTACTAGGATAGTTAAATTGTCTGTCTAGTATGTTCTTCCTGCACGTAACGAAGTGATCAGTGTAGAGTAAGCATGCAAGAAGTATAATCATTGCTGTTGAATTTGTAATATTATCTTAAAAAAGAACACTCATACATTGACAGTGGGAATTCAAAACGGTAGAGCCACTATTGATACATACAACAACTTGGATGGATATCAAATGCATTACGCTAAGTGAAAGTAGCTAAAGTCAAAAAGTTTATATACTGTATGGTTCCACTAATATAAAAATTTGGAAAAGGTCCAACTATAGGGACAAAAGGGTTCAATGGTAGAATTCTCATCTTCCATGCAGGAGACCTGGGTTTGAATCTGGGCCAAAGCACCTGTCTGTTAATGGAGGCTTGCATGTTGCTATGATGCTGAAGAGATTTCAGTGGAGCTTCCAGCCAAAGATAGACTAGGAAGAAAGACCTGGAGATCTATTTCAGAAAAATAAGCCAATGAACACCCAGTGGATCACAATGGTAAGATCTTGTTGTTCATGGGGTCACCATGAGTTCGGGGCTGATTTGATGGCAACTAACAATAACAACATAAGGATAAACAGATTGGTATTTCCCAGAGATTGGGGTTGGGGGTGTTTTGATAAAATCGAGCAGTATAAAGGAACTTTTAGAGGGGAGGGAGCTGTCTTGTATCCTGATTGTAGTAGTAGTTAGGTGACTCTCTGCATTTGTCATAGCTCACAGAGCAGTGACCCTCCTCCCCCCCAAAAAAGTGAATTTTATTGTAGGTAAATTAAAAATAAATACACTAAATATATGACAACTAAGGAAAAACTAAATGGATGATAATATATCTATTAATTGAAAAATAAGCTCACTAAAGTACATATAAAATATAATATCTTTTATAACGTTTGAAACTGAAAATAAAATACACATGTATTCAAAATTCATGGAAATTGAATAAGACCATATAAAATGGGAAGCAAAAGGAAATTATAAATACAGGATTTAGGATGATGATTATCTCAGGTAGAAGGAGATAGGGCAATAGGATGGAGGATACCCACTTGATTGAACGTGGATTGTTGTCAGCGTCCTACCTTTTGTTTCAAATGGTAGATTTTCAGGTGCTTATTACATTCCTGAAGAGCCATGGTGGAGCAGTGGTTAAGCACTGACCAAAAGGGTCAGCGGTTTGAACCCACCAGCTGCTCCATAAGAGAAAGATGTGGCAGTCTGCTCCTGTAAAGATTTATAGCCTTGGAAACCTTATGGGGCAGTTCTACTCTGTCTTATAGGTTTGCTGTGAGTCGGAATCAACTCGACTGCGGTGGGTTTGGTTTTTGATATTACATTCTTAAGAAAATTGCTAACAAACCTTAAATGTTTGGGCTAAATAGACAACTGGACACAAGTCAATAATAATCAGTAAAAGGACACATTTCTGTTAAAATTACCTGGAATGCAGTTAAGAAAGAAAAAGAGAAAAAAATAAATATGTGTATATATGTAAAGAAGTTTTCAAGGAAGAGAGAAAGAGAAGTATAAGTCAGTTGGATTGTCAGAAGGAAAGAAGAAAGAGAATAAAGATAAAGATTATTTAAAGACATAACGGATGAGAATTTTCCACAACTAATAAAATGCATAAATCTTCAGATCCATGAAGCTCAATATATAGAGAAAAGAGTAAATACAAAGAAATTGACACCTTTATGCAATGTAGTTAATCTCTAGAATATTAAAGGCAAGATAGAATTCTAAGAACAATCAAAGAGGAAAGACAACTAACAGCCGACTTTTCAATAGCAATAATGGAAATTAGAAAAAAGACAGTGATTATCTTTAATACTCTGTCAGAAAGAAACTGTCGAACTAGAACTCAGTACTTAGCAAAGTTATCATTTGAAAATGCATGCAGAGTTTCTCTTTTTGGTGATAGCCAAGCAAACTATCAGATTGACCATCGGGCAGATACAAACTTCAGACAAAGTAAAACAAAAACAAAAAAACCCTCCTTCTAGGCATGGAGAGCAACAAAAGCAGGTTCTCTGCCTTTTCTTCTTCACTGAAACAGAGTGGACACTTGGAAGCAGGAAACAGCACTGGATAAGTTTTCTGTTTTCATAGCAGCTAGCCTGAGGGCAAATCCAGTCTGTACCATACAGCATGGCTAAAATTCTATAGAATACTTGTAGTCTTTCTGGTCTGAAGACAAGAGGACAGAACTTGGGCAACCAAAACTGTTGAAACTTGAGTGGAGAGTACCAGAAAGGAGAGAGTTAGGGGATAGTTACCCCTAATTCTGCATATATACTCTTTACAAATCTTTGGCTAAATCTGAATATATACATGGGCACAGATTTCAAGTGGCACAGATTCCAAGCAGCCCAGATAAATTACTGAGATTTGATCTGCTACCCAAAAGATATTGTCCACCAGTTTGATTTTCTTCTAAAGAAGCCAACCAACCAATTGAAACAAACAAACAAAAAACAACCAAGCAAACAAAAAACCAGTCTTCAGAAGAATATAATACAACATATAGTTTACACAACATAACACAAAATCCAGAATACAATTCATAAATTCTTGCTATAAAGAATCAGAAAAATGTGACCCATTCTCAAGAGAAATGATTATCAGTGTATAATAATCATAAGATGACAGAGATAAAATTTAGCAGAAATTCTATCTATGCTCAATGGCATAAAAGAATATATTTAAATAAATGAAAAGACAGGAACTCTAAGGAGAGTAAATAGAAATTATAGGAAAAACTCAAATAAAAATTGTAAAACTGAAAAATATAACCTCTGAAATTAAAAAAAATTATTAGAAGACTCAACAGCAAAATGGAATTTTGATAGGCTAAAGAGTCATGGAATTTGAAAAAAGAGCAATTAAAATAATTTACTCCGAAGAACACAAAAAAATCTATCGGGAAAAAAATGCTTCAGGGACAAATGAAAGCATATCAAAAGATATAACATGTAGGGTAAGTACTTAGTGCTTTTCTAATGAAAATGGTAGCTATGTATGTATATTTTTTTAATAGGTGCAAGTGACATCCAGTTCTGGCCATGACAGAGTAGGTTTAATCTATTAACTCTCTTGATAAAGAAACAGTAGAGACTAGACAAAATGCATAGTATAACTGCTTAAAAATATTGGAGAGTAACCACCACCAACAGGACTTAATGGGCTGTGATTCCTGAAAGAACAGAACGGTGAGACCCACATTCATCCCAACTTTTTCCTTAAAAGCATTTGCCAAAATAGGGTATAGACTATTAGCAGGTGGTGGAAATACCTGTTTCTAAGGAGATAGATGTTGAAGTTTGGGATATTCAAAGAAACTATCATTTCAGCTGAAAAATCCCAGAGGAGAAAACCCTGGGAAATGAGGCCTTAACTTTGTTTGCAATCTCCTCTTGAGGCCCAGCTACTCTAAGCTGTGCAGGCCTAGGATAAGACTCTAAGAGCCCAGTGGAAGAGATAAGCCAGGAAGCTAAGGCGTTCAGCCAACATTTCAGCAACAATTCAGTGATAAAGAAGTTGGAGTTCAAGTCCTGCCAATAAGGAGAAAAAATACCTCAGGCTTTTTCTGAAGGTCCCAGAAAGGCCTGAGTAGAGCAGACTGAATAAACGCTAAAAAAAAAAAAACACTTGGCAGGATTATGGTGGTTTGCTTACACCCTACCTGACAGCCAGAAAAAAATCATAACCCTCTTAGGAGGAGATAACATCTTCCTACAATTTTTAAACCACAATGTCTAAAAATCTAATTTTTTTTTTAAAAAAGTGCGAGTCATATTAAAATCTAGAAGCCCTGGCGGTGCAATGGTTAAGTGCTCAGCTGTTAACCAAAAGGTATGTGGTTCGCACCAGCAGCTCTGTGGGAGAAAAGACCTGGTGATCTGCTGTCATAAAGATTACAGCCTACGAAGCTGTATAGGGCTGTTCTGCTCTGTGATATAGGGTCACTGTGTAGGAATCAACTTGACAGCACCCAACAACAGCAACAACAAGAACAAGACCAAATGACCAAAAACCAACGGAGAAAAAAAAAAAAGATAAAGACACAGATCCAACAGAAATTAGATTTTCAGAGACTTTAAAATGACTATGATTAGTATGCTCAAGAAAATAGAGGGAAAGGTTGAGACTTTCAAAAGAACCTGCAACGTGTAACTGAAAATTACAATATCCAAAATTAAGACAGTGGGGCTTCGTGACAGATTAAACCCGTCAGAAAAGAGATCCATCTGAACAGAGAATTAGTGAACTGGAAGACTGTAAATAGAAAGTATTCGAATTGAAGCATAGAGAGAAAAAAAGATGAAAACTGCTTAACAGAGCATAATGCACATGTGGATCATGGTGAAGAGGTCCAGAGTCTGTGTCTTAGAAATCTAGTGCTGCTATAACAGAAATACCACAAGTGGATGGCTTTAACAAAGAGAAATTTATTCTATCACACTCTAGGAGGCTAAAAGTCCAAATTCAGGCAATCAGCTCCAGGGGAAGTCTTTCTCTCTCTGTTGGCTCTAGAGCAAGGTCCTTGTCATCAACCTTCCCTTGGGCTAGGAGCTTCTCTGAGCAGGAACCTCCAGTCCAAAAGATGAGCTATGCTCCCGGTGCTTCTTTCTTGGTGGTGTGAGGTCCTCCCCTCCTCCACCTCCCCCTCTCCCCACTCCCCCACTCTCTTCCCTTTGCTTTTATGTCTTGTAAGGTAAAAGGTGGTGCAGGCCACACCCCAGGGAAACTCCCTTTACATTGGATCAGGGATGTGACCTTAGTAAGGGTGTTTCAATCCCACCCTAATTTTCTTTAACATAATCTAATCTTGCCTCATTAAGCACAGGCAGAGATTAGCATTTACAACACATAGGAAAATGACAATCACAAAATGGAGGACAGCCGCACAATACTGGGAATCATGGCCTAACCAAGATGACACATATTTTGGGGGGACACGATTCAACCCATGACAGTCTGTATAATCAAAGTCTGCACACAAGAAGTGAGAATAGTACAGAAGCAATATTTGAAAAAAATACTAGCTGAGAGTTTTCCAAAACTCGTGAAAGCTCTACAAACACCATAATGCCTGTAGATAGGTGCTGTGATAGATGCGGACAACTATCCCAAAGTGTCCTGAGAATATAGTCAAGGGTCTCTAATCGATCTTGGAGTTTAGCTAAAGCTTTCTAGAAGAAATAAGTAAATAGAGCTGAATTAGAAATTACTACCACGTGATATAATTAAATCTACTATTACTTATTAAATACCAATATTAAGTATAGTGAATAGATTTCAAATAATCTGTTTGTGGATATATGATGTACACAGCAAACAAAATATAGTTTAACCCAAATTATGTTTAAGTAAAGTTTACGATGTCGTGTAGTGAGAATGCATTGATTTACTAGAAATGAAGACAATGATAGAGACAGTGAGATGTGAATTGCCTTAAATGCATGGACAAAATTGTCATGCATGAAAATAATATGCTG